ATAACAAAAAATACAAAAACATAGCTTTAAGAGGGTTACGCCTACCCTAAAATTAAGGAACACGCTCGACCTCGACACGTGATATCGAAATGGGCGAAATCGCCTCTTGATATCACTAACTATCTTGAATCTTTCGGCCAATTTTTATATCTCCCACCAATCTCCTGATATATGCATTTGACTGGCGCCAATTTTTGGCTTCCTGTGCCCATACTTACAGGAATTGTGAAACTGTTTCTGCAGTAAATTCGCTCCTAATTAAGATAGAAGCTTCATTCTGGTGTCATTTTAATTGCTAAATCGCCATCTTTAAATTGATTATAGACAATATCCTTCAAAGATAACACAAGAAATTCCATGTGACCGAACGGTTTCATCATGTTCAGTGTTGAAAAGCGACACTTGCCACCTCTGGAATTCTTCGTTCCAATAATTTATTCAAAAGCGCATGTTATGCCCTTTCTAAGGATATCAAATTCGAGATTGGCACTCAATGGATCGATGAGATATGACTATTTGACTGTAGTAGTAGTACCGATATTTCACTTGATGAAACAGTTTGACCGGTTTCAGCGACCGACGGTCCTTCATGGAAGCGCCAATCTCACATTTGGTAGCGTTAGAAAGGGCATAACATGCGCCTTTCAATGAAATATTACAAGTCTAGTTTCTTGGAGGGGGAGCTGCAGATGTCTGTCGCTGACACTGGTCAAACTGTTCCGTCAAGGGAAGTTTTTCGTACTACTGCATCCGTCAAGCAGTCATACCTCAATAATCCATTGAGTGCCAATCGCGAGTTTGGGATCACTAGAAAGGGCATAATTGCGCCATTTGATGGAGTATTACAAGTCTGCTTTCTTGGAGGGGCAAGTGCGCATATTGGTCACTAACACCGGTTAAACTGCTCCGTCAAGGGAGATTTTGGTACTGTTGCATCAGTCAAATAGCCATATCTCAATAATCCGTTGAGTGCCAATCTCGAATTTGGTATCCTTAGAAAGGGCATAACATGCGCTTTTGAATAAATTATTGGAACGAAGAATTCCAGAGGTGGTAAGTGTCGCTTTTCAACACTGAACATGATGAATCCATGGCATACATCCAGAGTTGACACCAAATATTTATGCATCCTTGCCAAAGTAGTATTCCCCCCCTCCATGCATGCAAACTCATTATTCTGACTAAAAAATAAAATGATTTCTCCTAACTTATCATACATAAAAACATGAGCTTTTGTGCTTGGACTTGATGCAGTCCATCCTAGGTTTTCACTGTTTTGAAACTTTGAAAATGAGAGGAAAATGGCACCAAAAAGTTCCTTCCAAATCCCAATTGTCCATTAAGATTCCCAAGGTTGCTTCCAAGTCCCTATTACCCCATTGTACACCCTAAGCAAATTAGTTGCAGGAAACTGAACATAGCAGATTTAGTGGCTACTATGGCATATTTCAGGCAATGAGCATCAACCAATCACTGAATTCACAGAGGACTGTGAAGGTCCACAGAATTTATATTAAGAGAGCGAAGATTCAGAATGAACTGGGACTAGCCTCTTTAAGCCAAGGATGATTCCAGTGTCAGATTTGTATCCACCAAGCATGACTGTGACAGAGGTCCCCTTTGTGAGGAGTTTGATGGGCAAAATATCAACTTCACGCAAGACTTTCTTCTCGCCATCATCAAAATGGACCATCCACCTCTTCCATGTCTCCAATGGGGCTTCTTCTGAAGCCACAGTGCCAGAATAGAACATCCGATCCACCCATTGGCCAAACACCTTCATCCCTACCCAACAACACAGCATAAACAACCATGAAATTGCTCCATTCCTTGAGAGAAGGATTGGGAAGGAATGAAGAAAGGCCTTTATTTGTACAGATATACCTGGTTGGAGAGAAGTGCCTTTGATCTCCTTGCACTTTAATTCCATAGTCTGAAGGATGTCTTCAGTTGAAAGTGCATCCTGACATGGCATTTCTTCAAATTCTGACTGGATCTCACTACCTGCACCATCAACAATTATGCCATAAATATGCAGCACTTACAGAAAGTCACATAATCCATGTATCTGTCACAACCTCTTTGCTATTTAAAGGATGGTACACAACATTAATCCTGGCAAATGGCAAATTTTTGTCAACTATTAGTTTCCATTTCATTTTCATTCAAATGAATATAAATATTCTAAAACATCATATCTGGGATATTAATTCTCAGTCATACCAAAATGATATGATACAATGATGATGAAAGATCTGACACTGTTCCAAAGTCTGTATGTTTTCAGACTTCAAATGTTTGTAGACACAAACATTTAATAATAATAAAATATAAACATATACAAATAAAAATAATATTAATAATAATAATATGTCAATAATAAAGCTGCCCATAGGTTGTCATTTATAGACACCCTATAGATATATACAGCCATCAAGCATAAGACTCAATAAAGTGCTTGAACAAGGCAATGTCAGTCATCCTTGTCATCAAGCACAGGAGTCAGGTGCTGAAGGAGAACTTCAGTTAGAAAACCACTAGTCTCCAAGCTCCTGAAGCATTCTCTTTTCAAATCAGACCTCTATTATGGTGCCAAGGTTTTCCATTAAAATGAAGCCATGAGAACTGGGAGGCCATCGCTGATTCATACGAATTAACACAGGGAAATTCCTACATTATGCATATAAGGCACCTCATGCAGTGAAGCGAAATGAAAATAACATGATTTCAGTGAGTTTCATCTATAAAAAAAAAAATGAGGGCGATCCCACAGTTGGTTATGCTCAGGTTTAGCTGCTTACATGATTTGCTCATCTTTGATACAGATGACGTTTTCCTTCTCAAAACAGACTTGCCCTCGTGAGACATGGTTGACTCATGTTTTGTTGTTTCATTCTTGATTTGCCCAAATAAATGAATAAATATGTTACACATACAAATTTTATTCAAACAAAGTTTATAGAATCAAAATCTACAATTAAAAAATTGACATTTTTGGGTCAATTCATAACTTCGTCCAGAAAAGATAATATGCAGTAAAAAACATTCATTATTATATCTGTACTTGAGTGAATAAAGGTGTTTAACATATCCAACAGTATGGTCATAAGGCCTCCAGTTAAAGCAACAGAAAAATGCAATGGCTGCTAGCATGGTAAAGAGGCTGCTACCCGTTTTGGATTGAGAGATGCTTTAATTCATGATTGGTCACACATATCGCCAGGTGAGGATTATTTTGTTCTATTCCATAACTGAGAGTTTAGGACATATGAACTTCATCAGAGTTTGCTGCAGTAAAACAAAAAATATAACAAGTTTGCAGTCACTTATTACGTCCACTGATTCTTAACCTTTTTGCAGGTGAATTTTTTCAAAGGTGAATCAATTTTTTAGAAATGGGCCTGAAACATCAATAAAAAAAAATCCCTAAGCTAACCTAAACTAATCCCTAAACAGACTAGCAAAAGGGTTAAATTAATGTGTGACCTGCTATGTTAAGTAAATAATTTCAGTGAGGATATTAAATGCCATGAATGCCATTGCTAAATAAACAAATCTGAAATATGGACTTAGAACAAAATAATCCCTACACAGGATCATGGGACCAATGCATTCCAGACTGCTACTTGAAAGAGAACAATCATTTCCTGCTTTTGAAGTACAAAGGACAGAAAATAATGCAGGAGCTGCTGGACCTGAGACTGGAACCTGAAGTAGTTGTAATTATATATGTGGTGGTGTATGGGAAAGGAAATGAATTGTATAGCAAATATGATCACATACATCCACATGTGACCACATACAACCATATGACCTGTCACATGAAATTTTTATGCAAGATTTCACCCCTGAGACCAGCCAGATGTATTTTCTTTTTCAGCTATTTTGGATGAATGGTCCTTGTGGATTCTCTTGTGGATTGCAGTCTTCCTATGAACCAGTTTGATCATTATGTATCAGTCATTGTCCTCTTGACCTGTAGAACACCTGGATGCTAGTTCATGCAGAGAATTATATCTCATACAAACTTTTGAAAGGCATGAAGTATACATTTGACCAATAAAAAAATCTTCCAATGGAAAGGCATCAACTAACATGAATAACAAGTCTTGTCCCAGACCAGGTTTTGGCTAGATATTGAATGCAAGGTATCCTTTGGCACACTTCTGGCCAGAGCCAGATAGTTGTGGTGAGTTACCTCAGCCCACTTTTTTTGTTTGCACAGGAAATCTGTTAAGCTATATTGTTCATTCCCTTTCATTTTCTATTTTGCAAAGATGATACATGTACTACTGTTGGTGCCTCTCCCAACACTGAATCAAAAACTAGTTCTGTGAAATCCCAACTTTTTTAATAACCTGTCTGTTTCATATTCTTTTTCATGGAATTTCAGTTACCTATGACACAGAGCACCTGAAAAAAAAAACATGACTTGAAGATCAGGAGGAAGGAACAGGAAAGATCATGAAGGACAGCATGAAAGCATCTTGGTAGAAGCTTGCATAGGGTCACAAGCACAAGAAACTCCCAGGAAGGAGTCTCCCATATGTGTTGCTCCATGCTTTTCTTTCTGCAGCCTTCATTTTACTCCCTGTTCTGATGGGCTGGCCTTCCTTCATAGGAAATATATGAAAATTTATAATTGACAGACTTGACAAGATCAACAAAATCCTGAATGTAAAGGATTCCATGGGGGGAAGTAGTTGCTCCCTTCCAGCCAATTCCAATCAATCTCAAGACAATCTCAAGATTTTTTCTCCCTAGACAATATCATCCATTCCCATTCTCTCCCCCCTCACATGAATAATTGGTCCTCAAACCAACTGGATCAGATATCCTGCAAAGTGGCTGGATAGACCAGATACAAGATAGTAGCAGAATATATGGTAAATCACTCATACTAAGTTTAGTGTGATGCCAGAGTGCATCCTATCCAATGGAGATTGGTAAATAAAACTTATATCGTGAGCATGTTCATTGAGACCTATGCATTGGGTTTACAATTATTCAAATTACAATATTACATGGTTGCATCTATGAGGAAAAGAGTGGCCAGAGAGCTGTACTGAATGAACCATTTGTTCCTAGTTGTGACTAACTTGATTCCTCGACAATGGGTGTGTGCAGTAGGGGCACACGAAGCCTGCGGGAGACCTTTCGAGGAGGTGGACTATAAGAGCTCAATTCAGATGAGGACTCCATGGGGTTCTCAAGGATTCGTTTCCTCCCACTCTTTGGGGATCTTTGTTCCTCCTTTGCCTCTTGTTGCATCTTCTCTTCCTCCTTGCTGGGAGAAGGGGTTGTGAGGTCTACCACAGCTGGCTCCAAGTCAATATCCATCCTGACAAAATGACAATTAGTGTATTCCTTGGAATAAAGAGACAGTAATTCCAAGAATTAATGGGGTGACTTATATAGTCTATGCTTGATTGAAGGCAAAGAGATAATAGATAATCCTACACCAGGGGTGGGCAAATTGTGGCTGGATGCTGCCCACTAATCAGATTTTGTTGCTGAAGGAAAACTCTTTAGAAAAATACAGGCAACTGCATGTGTCACACTGCGATGTAGCAATTTTGCCCACTCCAGCCCTATATCATACTTTAAACTTCTCAAAATTGCAAAAGTGACTGAACTTTAACCAAAAACCATCCATTCATCCTTCCAAGGGCTTCCCAATCCACAGCCCTTCATCACTAGACCCTGTACTTTAAAAATTCCTCCCTGTTGTTCGGCTCAAATTTTCAATGAACTAAGCATAGCTGCTATCTTCAACAACTTACATACAGATTAGCACAAGATGATTCAGATTCACTTCCTGAAAAAGGATGATTTTTTTGTCCTCTGCACCATAAAAGCACTTTAATATGGGTTGCATAGAAGCTTACCTGTTTTGTTTGACTGGAGTGGGATCACTGGTGGACTGTATTATTTCTACATCAGGGTGCTCTTCCTCTTCTTTTAAGGCAGTATCACTGCTTGACTTCCTCAATGTAGGAAGCACTGGAAATCCCAACCCAAGATGAGACAGCTATTATCCACACAAATACAAGGTCTTTGTCTTATATATAATTTCACAAAAAGATCAAGAAACTCACATGTCTCCCAAATCCGACCTTGATTCCTATCTGTAACTGCAGACAGCATAGAGGTCCTAAAAGGCATTATTATGATTGAGGTCATCATATAGACATAACTTCCTAAGGATGACTATGAAAGCCATCATGGAAGAAAAAAGCAGATGAGGAGAAAAGGGTATAATCAGAGTAGCTTAAAGCAAAAAAAATTCTCCCACCACCCATTTTAGGTGTCATAATGATAGTGCTAGATAGGCATTTCCATTCAAGTCACCAGTGGCAACATGACCTAATGTCACACAAACTATTGTTACCACATTCACTGATGCCAAAATGTTTTTGAGGAAAAATGGATAATATTTGAAATAATGCTGGAAACAGAACATGACAAGTAATATTGAAGAAAAACTCCAATTGGTAGTTCAAATCTTGGAGAAAATCAGTAGAGAATAGATCCAGTTCAAACCTATGATTGAATTTCATTGAATTTTAAAATAATTTGAACATTTCAATTATAGGTGCTCTGTCAAATGAAACTGTTCTCCAGCCTTCAAAAGGGTAATCATGGTAACAATGACAGTGATGCTTGAGCACCTTTTCTTGCAGCTACCCAGATGTATGGGTCTTTTGTACCTGGCAGACTTTCTGGAGCCAGAAGAGGTGAATGTGAGGCTTGAGACATCAGCCAGGGACCCAGATGTAAGGGAGACATCTGATATCCGATTACCACCTGCTGTCCCTGACCTTGGTGGTGAGATCTGGATCCCTCGTTCACAGAATGCCACCATCTCCTTTGGGATCTCATTTCTATCATTCACTTTCACCTACAATGATTCATGGTATATCAGTGTGTCACTCTTTCACTTTCTTCTATCAGGTTGAGGAGATGTGGGGAGACAAATTCACCAGGTACTGCCTAATTAGGTGAAAGGAATCAATTCCAGTGCGTGGGCATATTTCCTGCTCCATCACTGTTACGTTCACTATCAATCCCATAGCCACCTGCAAGCATCATGCATATTCAAAACCATTACTTCATTATTTATCAACAAATGCATGGCAGAAAAAAAAGCTCCCAGCAGACATGTGAGATTGGGGAATACAAGATCATTTTACTGCCCTTCTTACATGCCAGTGACTCTAGCTTTCATCCAAGTTAAACTTCCCTTCCTTGTCCCTCACCTTGTCATATTTCAGGGATGTCCTGGGACAGTATTCTATTAATATCTTATATTTGTTGTAAGTAATTTGTTTCAAGTCTATAGACTTGAAGCAAATTGCTCAGCCTTGCCTATGCATTTGAATGGGGTAAATCTCAGCTAAGCACCTTGCTATGGGGGAAATCACACTCAAGAAAATGATAGAATATGGTCCCTGGACTTTAAGTTCTGGTTACAGGCAGACCTACACGGTATGGCACTCGATGGGTTCCCCATTAAGAACAAGAGAGGCAGCCCAATATTCCTAACAAGAACAAGGATATGAGAATAATGAAACAAAAATGAATGAATTGACCTTGTCCAACTTCTCAGTTGTCTTCCTTTTTGCCATTCCATTCTGATCAGTTTCACCACCACCTGCATGACCATGAACATCTGCCAAGTATAACATGGACTTCATTCCATTACTCTTGAAAGTTATGCATTAGCAGGGTACTTTCCAGGGCTGGAAAGGAAGTAACCTATGTATTTTTTAAGCACCAGAAAGGTGACCAGAAAGTTCTGTTATAACTGGCAATATGAAAAGAAATACTCCATTTGGTCTCACAATTTCTATATTGTTTGAAGTCATGTCCCTTAAATTAAATACACTTGGTCCAAGGATCCAAAAACATTTTCAGTCACCTGCAGAGCCTATTTTCTTGTATTCCCTTCAATGCCACAGCCATTGCCGCATCAACTTCATCTGGTTTGTCGTGGCATTCTCCATGAGGTTCATCATCACAAGGACTCAAGTCTGAAGAATGAGGCTGAAGTGAATGTTTCAAAGCACCAGTTTTCAAAAATGAATACCATAATCCATTTGAGTGGTATTATGAGTCCTTCTGATGCCAGCTGCCCCAAAAGGCTATCCTTCATGAACAAGGAGGTTCCAGATTCCAAGTAGAGAACAGACACTATTTCTTTCAATCACCAGGCACGAGTTGCAGTGACTTCCAACTGTTTCCTGCTGTGAAGAATGAGCTCCATATGTTGAAAGATGAATAAAATCAATGCAGCAGAGGCCATTGCATTGAAGGGAATCCAGAAAAACAAGCTTTATGGTGGACTCAGTAAGATTGTAAATCAATGGGTCAAACATGCTTAAATCAAGGGGGATTACTTCAAGCCATAAAGTTGTTCTTAGTCCAAAATAAGTTTTTCTTTTTTTATGGCCAAATAGTGAAACATTTCTGATCACCTCTTACAGATACAATACAAAAATATCATAATTCCTCTTCCATCCTGTCAAGAGCCCTGTGACAGTAAAAAAAAAAAATCAAAAGCAAGATGGATTTGGTCTCCAGGGAGAGAGAAATAATTATATCTGGAAAAGGGTCATAATAGCCAAGTAACAGATGGGTAAAAACATTCAGTTCCATTCTGGAAGAACTTCAGAGATTAACATTAGTGTAACTCTATTCTGGTTCCAAATTAGCCAGTTCTGCACACAGAAGATTGTCATTTCTACAAGGGAAATTTCTGTGGTTGTTGATGATAGTGCACAAGAGAGCACTTATTTGCTCTTTCCTCAATATGGTTGAGATGGTCATGGTACATGATGGAATCTGTCCCAGGAAAACAAGTCTTGGATCTGCATTCTTAATACTTGACTTTCATATTAACTAGAGTAGTGGTGCGCAAACTTTTCAGGTCGCACCCCTCTATTCATCCATGTATTTAGTTGTACCCCCCTCCACCAGTCCTGTTCATCAGAAACTGACAATTTTGGGTAAGCTGGCATGAGAAAGGTAACATGGATATATGGTTTTTGGAAAGATAATCTCACATCCTTTGGATTGTGCAGTTTAAACATTTCTTTTATGGTTCAATTTCAATATACCTGTCAAAGTATGCAATTTATTATGTTTTTTCTTATCTTAGGTTCTTATAAAAAAAAAACTTTATAGTAGGGCTGTCAGGATGGCAGTTTTCTAAACATTGATGCATCAACCTGAACCATCGATATTATATCGATGCACCCAGGGGGGGATGTGCCAAAGGATTGAATCTTTTCTCACTGCAAACGGGCAGAGGTTTCACTTCCATCATTTCTTGCCTTGATCGGGTCGCTGCCTCTTCCTTTCTCCACCCAGATGGACTGTATTGTACTTGATTTGTCTCAATCCAATGGGATTGAGACAAATGTATCCCCTTCAAAAATGTTGCCTATCCATCACGATGGTCAAAGAAACTATCAGTACCATGAACCATCAATAGTGGTATCAATGCATTGACCTATTGTGACAGCCCTACCTTTATAACTATTAACAAAAGCATAGACCTGCACACATGCTCTCAATTATTTTTGCAGTTTCATAATAATTTAATACTTTTATTGATAATTTTCCCATGACATTACAAGAATCAGACATATTGTATTAAAATTAAATCCTCACATAACACAATGACTGTTCTTATCCTCATGAATTTGATATTTTAGAAAACTTCTTTGAATATTTGATAGATTTTTACTTGGAACTTCTAGATTTATAGTACTTTCCTTCCTTGTTTCCCTTTATATCTAATTTAGAACCTTAAAACTCTTAAATTCTGAGAAAAAAGATATAGTGAAGGCCAAAGTTCACACCCCTAGAACCAACTAGAGGTTCACAAAAGAGTGTATGGTGTCTATCCCTCTCTGACATGCATAATCTATTTGAGATATTACTTTTTTTTTCTCTGCCCAAGGACATAGCATCCCATGTGTTTCTCAACAAAGAAAGTGCAAGTGAGAAGATGCACTCTGTCATAAAGGCTAGCATATTCATGCATTCACAAATAAAAGGGCTCACCTAGTTCTGGTCCTGCTCCCAGCACACTTAGATTCTGTCCATCTGCCTCTTGAGTGTCATTAAGAATTTCTCCCCTTTCCTTAGCATCACCTTCCATTTCCATTGTCTGTACCCAATGGGAAGGGTGTTTGCATGAATGCATCAAATCAATAATAACCTCCACAAAATTCATAAAATTCAATCCATGTACAGGGTGTCCCAAAATTAAGCACACACCATTCAAGCATCATTTGACAGATCTCCACAAAAATTGCAAAAATTGGCAAGTATACAGAGAATATCATCAAAGTTTACTTACCAAATTATCAAATAATTTCATCAACTCTGCATTGATTAAAGCTCTCAATGTGCATGCCACCATTATAAACAATCAGATTCAGCCTCTTCCTGAAATAAAGAAAATTTTACTAAAAAAAAAATCAGGAGTCAGGGAAGCGCAAGCTGCTTCGATGGCCTTCTGGAGTGAGTTCAGATCCTTGTACGACTTCCGGTACACCAGCCACTTTAACCCTTTCAGACATGAATTAAGGCCGCTATCAGAATTATATCTTTTTTTGCATTTTTGAGCTCTTTCGTGATTGCAATTGAAATTTTCATGCTTTATATGAAGTTTTCATATTTTGTATAAATTTACCATATCATGCCAAATATTATACATCAAACATTTTATTAAATAACTGAAGATTACAAAATTAATGGGTAAGAGAAGGCCTCTGATGGAACTGAGCCATGCATAATTGCCCTCATTGTAGCGTAATATGGAGCACAAAGTCACAAGAATCCTAAGAAGTTGCCATAGACACAATGTAAATGCAATGCCCATTGGAATGGATGCCAGATCTGAAAGGGTTAAATGCCCCCACAAAACAAAGTTGCAGGGGGCCAGGTCTGGGTGTCTTGGGGGCTAGGCAATCAGTCCACATCTTTCAATCCAGCGCTGAAGAAAGCTCTCGTCCTGCCAGGTCCACACCTCTTTGGATGAATTTTTCTCAGAACCAGAACAGGGCTCTCCAAACAGTCATACCAGAAAATAGACTTAGCCTTTTTGGATGCAGAATGTGACGCTTTTGAATTTTTTTTCACTCATGCTACTTTAACTGTCAAAGAATTCATGAGAACCATGATTCAAATGAACATTGTGTACAGGCATAAAAAACTGTGATCTAGAAAAATTTACATATTCAGGAAACTGCTAAGAAATCAGTCCAGCTTCAACTGAGAATAATAAAACTTTTCACACTAAAATTCTATGTCAAAATCCATATGCATGCCAATTTTTTTGGATTTTCGTTGAACGATGCTTGAATGGCACGTGTTTACTTTTGGGACACTGCATATCAAACAGTATAAGATGCCTTTCAAATTCACTCTTTCAGTGCTCAATTGTTCCCAAGATTCCAAAAATGAGCTCAAGGCATTTCTTGTCTTGATTTTTTATTTGGTGCATACTTGGTGACTCAAAATATTTATTGTTTCTTTCTTTACATGCCTACAGAGAAAACACAATACAAGATATTGACAGGAAATTTACTAGGTACAATATGCCATTTCCAGCATGGGATATTTTTGAAAACCACCAATGCACATTGAATTTGACACCAAACAGACTTCCTCAACAGGAGCCTCATGACCTACTCAATAAGTTCAACTTGAAATGTACTGCAGCCTTGAAGCACTGACTGAGCAGCCTTGCTAAGATCTTCAACTCAGTGAAACTGTCTCCTAGAGAGGTTTTCTTTTAGGGTAGGGAACAGCCAGAAGTCCAGGGGGCCAAATCAGTGGAATAGGGAAGATAGAGAAGGATTTAGATATTCTTCTCTTCCAAAAACTTCCGGGTCACCCATGTCTTATGGCTATGAAGCATTGTCATGATGGAGCCAAATCACAGTGGTCCCAATAAAGAGGTCATTATGATTTCAGTCAAAACCCTGGGGAACATAACTCCAGTAATACACTCCAATAATTGTTCCTCTATCAGCCATCATGTCCACAACCACATACCCATGGTAGGGGAAAACAGCGGAACTTGAACGCTTCGAGAATGTCCAACTTGACTTGAATGCTTAGGTTAAAAGTATCGACTGCTTGTTCGACATCCTCTTAGGTGAATGAATTATCTTGCTGTAGTTTCACTGTTGTATTGAAGATGAAGATGGTTCTGATTTCCTATGATATTTTGATAGTGAGGAGAAGCATGAGTGCAAAATCTGAGCACGCTCAGATTTTGGATATTAAACAATCATGCTTCAGTTGTAGAGTATCATCAGGAAAATTGTTTAATAGAACTACGTGTTCATGCATAAATTAGTATAAGAGTTCCATTAGGAATATGTTAATGTTAGGATATATATCCCACCAGTTTGGATTGATTATGTTGTAAGACATAGACCTGGGGCCAGTTTCTCGAAGCTTCTAAATCTTTTCTTTTTCTTAAAATGTGCTAAAACATGGCTATTTCTAATCTTTTCTTATTTCCTTCTTAAAAGCGATTTCTCGAAAGTTCTAAACTTTTTCTATGCTAAATCTCTTCTTGTGTTTAAGAAAAGTTTTAGCATGGAAAAAGACAGTGAAGGAGGTGTCTTAACCTTTTCTAAAATGATTATCAGCTTGACCTGCATATTCTTATCATTCTAAATGGTACGCAAATATTTTGTTTCTCAAAGGAGCATTTGTTCCACATACTTTCTTCTACATTTGCATGAGATATGGCAACACGGGAACATTTTCGCAGGCGAAAATTGCTGAGGAGGGAATGTGTTTTTCGTGATCACCTTCTCTTGAAAACTATAGGGATGATAAGCTACGAAAATCAATATCGACTGCCGAGATCCCTCATCCTGGAGATACGTACCATAGCGAGTGCTGGCATTCAATGAGGTACCTTCGGTAGTCAAGCATTGGCTCTTCAACTAATATTGTGCTGTACATTGAGATTCCTCGCTACTGGTGCCATCTATTCCGTGTGTTCTCTGTGCCATTCATACTGTCTTTGAAAATCTTGCTCAGAGCAAGATTTTCAATTTTCACAATTGAAATTTTCATTTTCAATTTGAGGGAATTTTCACAAAATCTTGCATGATTTTGTGAAAATTCCCTCAGTAAACGAAGTGCACAGGGTGAAAACTGATTTCTGAAAATTGAGGAATTTCAATTCCCCAAAGTCATCAGGGCAATTGATGGATCCATATCCCATTGAAGCACCCAAGGACAGGGAATACCTCTACATGAACAGAAAAGCCTCCCACTCCCTGTATGTACAAATCATTGTCGATAGGAAAATGAAGATACTGAGTCTTGTTGATGGCTATTCAGGCAGATCCCATGACACTCTCATTTTTGAGAGCAGCTATCTCGCATTGAAGTTGCGTCAGAAGGAAATTCCTGGAGATGGTTGGCTGCTGGGAGATTATGGATACCCACAGCGAAGTTATCTGATGACTCCTTTGACCAATCTTAGACTAGGGAAGAGGTTACCTACAACCAGGGCCACCCAGAAGGGGGGGGGGAGCAATTGGGGCAATCTGCCCAGGGCCCCACGTATCAAGGTGTCCCAAGGGGGGCCTCCAAAGGGCCTCAAGGGGTCTCTGGTTTAGTTTTGCCTTGGGCCCCCGGAAACCTCTGGGCCTACAACACTTGTCAGGCAAGAGCTTGTTCCATCATCAAAAGAGCTATTGGTTTGCTGAAAGCTCGATTTAGGAGTCTCAGTGGAACTGTCAGTCAGAAACTTGGAGATCAATGTGCCGAATGAAAGGACTCAATCCCCCTTCAGAGGCAGAACGGACTAAAGAAAAAGTTTAAATTTAGATGTTTCGAGAAAGACCAACTTCTAATCTAATTCTAAACTTTTTCTATTCTATTTCTTTTCTTAAAGAGTCCGTTTAAGAAAAGAGTTAGAAGCTTTGAGAAACTGGCCCCTGAGCACCAATTCGGCTTAATGTTGCAAATCCATAGATTGACGTGAGTCGAACAGTACATCTGACTCTTGGTTTATGCATGTACGTAGTGACTTGGAGTGTATCAGCATGCATGCTTCCCATCAGTGGACTTTGATGTTTCTCTTTCAGTGCAAAAGAACACAGATCTCACATTTTCATGACTTTCATTTATACCATCGTTAACGGATATCACCTATTCATTGTTTCTGCCAGCTGTTGACTATAAATACAAGATAATTGGAGTATATAAGAGTGCTACTGGTTTGCATGATAAAAAAAAAGAAGGAACAGGAGTCTGCTGGGATCACCTTGCTTTTTACATCCTTCCATTCGCAGAAATATTTATATTCACGATGAGGGGGCTTCTTATTGGTTGCACCCTAAATACTCTTGAATAGTCCAATTGTCATCCAACTTAGCAACATCTACAGTCTTAAAATAATTTTCCCTGGCTAAATCAGTGAATCAAGTGGGAATCATAATTCTTGCTTCCACCAGAGTAGGGTGGATGTGGTCAATCGAAAATCGTGTAAGTGGTCTCATATGAGCTACAGGTCTTCTTCAGGTCAGAATGGCTCCATTGGGGAAAGTCTCCCTCAAGAAAGGGAAAAGTAATAAGCAGCCATCAGCAAAAAAAGGCAAAAAAGTGATGTCAGCAATCCAACTACACTTTCAAGGCTTTGATGGAAGCAGCTGAAGCAGTGAAATCAAGGAGAATGGGGTACAGAGCTGCTGGTCTTTGATATAATATTCCCTCAATGACAATTTTTGATCGTCTCCATGAGAAAATCGCAGGGTTTGAGAGTGGAAAAAAACCCATAGCTCACTGAAAGTGAAGAGATGCTGGAAAAGTACATTCTTTCTACGGCTACAAGAGGGTAAGAACATGTTCCTTTTATGGGTCGATAAATTCATTTTTACATTTCTTGTTATCCTTAATGATGAATTCCAATTGTGAGTTTGGAAAGCAGGATAGTGAAATGCATTAAACTGTTTGGCTGTAAGAGCCTTTGTTCATTTAGTGCACCAATTTCCAGTCAGACTAAGATATGACATGTGCTGTTTCTGATGAGATAAGTGCCTGAAAATGCATGTAGTACTTTTTCCTGAGGTGTCTGTCTTCCTGTAATTCAAACAATAAAGCAAGCTTTGTTCACCCGGAGGTGCACCAAGATGGGAACTCTGGGGCTAAAATTACGAAACAAGCTAGTCAGAATTCCAAATGACTTCCATATGGGCCAGTCAAATGTGGGGAGAATATGATGATGCAGATATTCATATTCTTATTCAATAAAAAAAATTTTGATCACTCGTTTGTTTGCTTTCCTCTTATGGAAACAAAAAGGAGTGGCAGAATGTGTGAACAGATCCAGCAGACATTAGTCATTAGGGCAGCTGAGGCTGGCTGTACAGATTACGGAGTGAAAGGGGGTTTTCCAGGTTCGAGTCACGGAGCACATCCGTTCGACTCAAGATGCAGCATGTATGATAATGGCATGTCCCATTTCGAGGGGCCATGCTCACCCACTTTCCGTCACTGAAGATTTATTCATACCATAACTTGATCCTTGAAAACAGGTAGCTTTAGAGAGGGGCAAAACAAAATGGTCATCCCCAGGCCATTATGGGCTGAGAGAAACGCTGGCTTTGATAATTGGATGGAAAAATAGTTCAAGTTTCGTAGTTTTCCCCTAATTGAAAAAAAAGACAAACATTCTCTTCCTGGAGTGAATCCCAAATTTGAGGATATCTAGTTGGGGCTTATCTTCACCTAACCAAACCATGTTGCTTTTTTTGTTTGGAGTGGTGAAGTAACTAATCTGCATTTCACCACCTGTGATAATGTCCACGATCCATTTTGAGCCACCAGGACCAAATATTTTCTGGCATTTGATGAATGAGCTCCATCTTTGTCACTTCTTCCTGGTCACTCAATCAATGAGAGCAATAGGGCACATATTTTTTCTCTGTGTAGATGGTCATGGAGAAGAGAAAGGGTGGCATCAACTGAAAGATTCAACTCTGAGGATAAATAACAGATAACTATCTGTTATTTATCCTCAGAGTTGGATCAACCTTCTTGGGTTAGTCTCAACTACATTTGGGCAGTGGACAACTGGGTCCTGGCTCACTACAGTAGGTGGGTGTCCATAATGGTCCTCATCTTCAAAGGAGTGACATTCCATAGAGAAATGCCACATCCACCTCCATATTGTCTTGATCAAAGGGAACAGTCCCCCGTGAAGACATTCAGATCTGACTTGATATGAGCAGTAGAGTGTCCCAGTTGCTGCTGGGCAAAGATGTGAAAGCAAACATACTGTTTAGGGAAGTCCACCATTTCTGGCCACAGGAAACAACCAAGCACTCTTCTGGAGATTCTTGAGACAAAGTAATAGGGCTAAACACTTATGCCCTAGCTTTTTTTCAGGAGGGGAGTCAATAAAGCGTTAAAGAGACATGGGAGTTCAGAACATCTCAACAATGACCTCTAGTACAACTGATTCACTTAATTCACCACCCAACCAAAAGACATCTGGTGATGGCTCACTCCCAAAAAGTCCAAGTCAGAAATGGCCATAGAGTGGAAGCAGTAACCCAAAAGCAAATTCTTTTCAAGATACAATTATTTTTCTCTGATAACTCTCAATAAGGCCCAGTAACTCCAATTTGATTTTCACAGATTATGTGACACTGCTATGATTGTGCATTGTACCTGCAGCATTAATTAATAATCAAAATTGAAGCAATTTTGGTCATGAAGGTTTGCTTCTCATGCAAGGATTGAGATGCTAACAGGGAATTGCAGGGTTCATGTTAACATGCTATAGCAAGTCCCTGACTCATATTTTCTTGGAGGGACTCATATTTGCAAAACATCCAAGTCTGTGGGGCTCATTGACAACCACCTGAACATGTCCCACTGAGCTGAAGCTAGGTGCCAGGATTCAAAAAGGATTTTTTAAAAAAAGCTAGTGTGAACCCCGAATCATATGCAGAGTGGTGCAGAAAAATGTATATGATAAAAAAAAACTGATATCTTTGATATTCATGGTCATCAGCAGAAGGTGTTTTCTATTGTAATGTATCACTGATTGCATGGCAAAGTTGCTGAGTCAAGTGCTGCAAGCTGCAATTCAGTAAGTTAATGCTGGCCTGCAATGGGACAATTGCAGTCATCAGTAGAAGAAGGGAGATAAGATTCTGCAGCAAATTTGGAAAACTGAAAGGATCCTAGAAGTTTGATGGAACAACTTCCATAAGTAATACCATAACAGAACATAAGGTGGTCCACAAAAAGGATGGTCTGGCAGAGTGTGAACAGCTTGACCTAAGAATGCTGCTATCTTTATGGCTGTATTTGAATGTGAATATGCATAATGAATGTATGAACTTTTTTCATCCACAATCTTCAAATATCAGCAATGTCTTCCAAAGCCACTTCAGGATCATCCTATGCTACAGCACATGCAACTGCACTTATGCTATTGCTATCCTTATGGGACACTGAAACTGGATCCTCACACACAATCTGGTGGCAAAAAAATGACAAAAATATAAAATTCCCTGACCTTTTTCTGAGCCACTCTGTATTTACATACATATAACAATATCCCATAATGACAAAACCAAGATGGATGGAGCCAAGACAGTTGAATAATAGGTTGAGAAAATGTGTCCTGGACCAGCAGGCAAAAACAATGTGTCTTTGCAATTCTGGAAAGCGATAACTTGGCATGGGCACCTTTGCCTAACTTGAAAAAGCCCCCTGAATTAAGGATGGTTAGGACAGATAACTACATGTTCCCTATTTGATGTCCATGATGTCAAGTAGTCCTAATAAATCCCCACATACAGGATGGCTCAAAAAAAACCAAGCTATTGACTTCAACTGCTGTAAATCAGGCTGCAGTGCCTTGATTTGAATAAGCTTTTAGGTACACATAAAACAACTCTTTTGCAGAATATATAAAATTATATGGCATGATATCACACAATTTTTGCTTTTTCCGAATGAAAATGGTCACCCCCATTTGGAAAACTGCTGCAACAGTACCTGGCTGCCATTTGAGTTGGAACAGAAACAGCTATTGTTGTTAAGAAAGCATTATCTTCTGTATCAATGTTTTAAGATGTGTTTCTTCCTTCTCCCAAATTTTTTTTTTCTAAAGCAAAGCAATGCCGAGTACGTGCATGAAGACTTGGTGGTGATCAAGCAAGACCTTGCGAGTTTAAAAACAGGATCACCAACTTGAAAGCAAGGTGGCTGAAGGCCCAGAACCTGAAGAACTGAAGTGGATGCTGAAAAAGTTTAAATGCATGTGTTGAGTCAGGAGGATCAACCTGAAAGTTTGTTTCACCAGAAAGTTCATTAATCATTTTTCTGACTTCCCATCCCCTTTAAACTCAGACGGTCTTGATCACTGCCAAGTCTTCATGTGAGTAACTAAGTATTGCTTTGTTCTACTAAAAAAAAAAAAAAAAAAAAATGTTGGAATAGGAAGAAACACATCTTAAAACATTGATACAGGAAATGAAATGTGTTCCTAATAACAGCAACTGTTGCTGCTGCAACTCAAATGGCAGCAGGGGACTGTTGACACAGTTTTCCAAATGGGGGCATCCATTTTCATCCTGATAAAGAAAAAAATTTGTGATACCATACCATATAATTTTATATCTGCTGCAAAAGAGTTGCTTCATATGTGCATAAAAGCTTGCTAAAATCAAAGCACTGCAGCCTGATTTACAGCACGTTGAAGTCAATAGCTTGGTTTCTTTTGAGCCACCCTGTACATCATGGGAGAATCATTCATGAACATATGAAACTCACTTCTTTGGATAAAGATAAGGTTGAAGTTTGACTTTCATCTCTGTTGAGTGCATTACATTCAATTGAATTCTTCATTCCCACTTGCATCTCCACAACAATGCTATCAGCCTCTCCATCTCTCTCCTCTTGTTCCTGCTTCCTCTCATCACCTTTTATTGGATTCTTCAAGGCAAATACCTCCTCAGGCGAACCTACAGATCCCATGGAATTTCCCTTTTAATGTCATTGGACAAAATATCATTATCTTGGAAGGGAATTTGACAAATTCCCACAATGCAAAATAAGACAGGAAGATTAAACCAATTTAATTATTGTCACAGTCTCAGATATTTTCCTTAGTAGACAACTTTTTTCCCACCTATTCTATCATATCTACTCCCTGAAATATTCCTGAGTCCAAAAAGAATCAAATTACTATGCCATGGATTAAGATTAAGGATGTCACAAAACATCATCATAGTTCCTGCAATGGCCCCAGCCCTTCTTCTTCCATGGAAACTCACTCCTCCCTCAATGAAAAATAGCATGAAATAGCAGGAAGCACACCTCCTGGATCACAAAGTGAGATAATGAAAAGTGATCCCCTTGATTGAGCATGAGGAGAGAGGAAAGTCTTCCCTCCCCCTTCACACCATTCAGGGGTAGCAAATAATATCGCAAAGTGTCAGTGCACAATCAATATGGGTGATGTATCAATATATTCAAAATAACCATCATGAAACCCTTAAATCCTGCATAATTAATATAAATCAATTGCAAGGCTCCTTACAGCACTTTCTGGAAGTAGTGGGAAACATTTCATGCAGCATGACATCCTGAACATTGAAGAAGTCGTTCATATGCAAAGTGGACAGAAAAAACATCCTGGATAGTTGAAAAGGCGAGTCCATCTGAAGGGGCAGTATGGAATAACACCTCATGATGCTGCAATACTTTCAGTAGGGCAAATCTGTGGATTCTGCAGTGACTTTGGATCCCAACTGTTTGTTCCTTTCTTTCACTGGAGCTGACGGTGTCTGTGTGCACAGGACCATGTTCTACACCTTCTGATGAGCATTCGGCTAATTCTGCACCCCTTCTGCTAAAGCCACAATGCTCTTCTGGGAATTCCACAACCTTTACTTCTTCCATGCCCCCTTGCCCTTCTAGGGGGAAGCTATTAGTTTTCAGGCCCTTAACTTTGGCAATGATGGATAATAGTTCTTCCCATGTTCAGATGTCAGGAGTTCAGGTATAAAGTACAAAAAACATCAACCTAATGAAGAGAAAAAGGCCATCTCCGAGATTCCCCATGACAAGTAAAGGGAGTCTTTTGTCTTTTCTCTTGGTTTTCTTTTCGGCAATGGAAAGTGGGGCCTCAAGGTGTGTTTAAAAAGGGGAAGGATCCCTAACACATACTGTAAATTATCCTAGTGATATTATTTTATTTCAAGACAGTGAAATTATCATACTCTCAATTTCCAATGTTGAAACATAATTTGCCAACCCTATATTATCATTTATGGTTGTTTGTGGCACTCCATACATTTTGGAATCCCACGCAAGCCCATCCTGCCAGACGTTGTGGCATTAAGTTCCCCATCTTGATCTTCCTGCAAATACTTATTGCTTGTCTTATCCTTCTTGCCAATTGTCATTGGCTATTTCCTTTCTTCGGCTCTTGCTGTGTTTTCAGTTTTACCTTTGGGGTTTCACATTTCTTTGCAAATGGCAATATCACAACTTATTATAGGTAACTATGAATTGGAAGTCAGATGTGACCTGTACAAGTAAGACAGAAGACTGAGAGATAAGAGTGCAAAATTAAAAACCTTGCTGTCAGGAGAATACAGGAAATGTCCCAGCAAGAAGTTACGGAATTCACCGATGGTTCATTTTCCGATCGGGCAATTCCACAACGTCTGCACTGCTGATACTTAATGAGTTATGTATGTCAATCACCTCTTACTCAGTCCTAAAACTATCAAAGGACTGAATAGAGGTGTAATTACATTGCCATATGCCCTAAAATATATTTATAGATAATGTTCAACTCTTGTCAAACAATCGGACTCTTGCTATAGTGCACAGTGTTCAGCAAGGAAGAGTACCTTGCTTCCATTGTCCACACGTCATTATTCACCCAATTGAGATGAAAGTCCTGTGATCACAGTGATGTCACAGTACATATGGCACTATCCATTAAACTAGATAGGGTACCGATTGAGGTTCTTACAGGAAAATGATTGAGCAAAAAAGTGACACGTTACAGAATTACCCTCCATCTTCACGAGTGTTGCAGAATTCCCAGATTTGCCCTTTCTTAACCCCTTCAGTGGCAGGTTTTCTGACATGCTACAGGAGAAGCCTGAGAATTTCTCAGGCATACCACTGAAGGGATTAAATGAAACAGAAAGCAGTGACTTCAATTTTAAACATCCACATGCAGAGTTCTAAAACCAGATTTCACCCTGGGGCATCAAAAGAAGAAACTCAACACTTGAAGGGAATACTTTATTTGCAATATTCATCAGGGTTCACGTTAACACGTTAATGTGAGTCCCTGATACATGTTTTCTAGGAGGCACTCATATTTGCAAAACATTTATATCCATGGGACTCGTTGACAACCACCTGAACATGCTCCCACCGAACTGAAACTAGGCACCAGGACTCAAGATTTAAAAAAACCTAGTGTGAATCCTGTTCATTATTATCCAATGGGCTCACAAGGCAGAATAAATATAATTCAACTTTATCACTAGCTATATTCTGTGCAACTTGAGATTGATTCTATCAGCACTTTATTATCTCCTTCAACCCTGGCAATTTGAATGTGCCATGGGCATAGGATGTCATATGACAGGTATTGAGATCAATGTGTTACCTTACATATTTCATCAATTCAGGTTTGTTACCTTTTCATTAATACCACACACCCCATTACTAATTACATTATTATTTCCTTTATGTTGACTATCTCTGCTAAAGATACACGGTGATGGAAGAGAAGGGGAGATAAGGGAAGTCCAAAATATAGGAATATGCCATACCAGGAGGCAAGTGAGACCAAGATGAAACAGATTCAGGATGGACAATTCTCTCTGTTACTTTCAGCATTGCTGCAAAGACATCTGTAGGCTTCTCTGATGCTTCTTTCCTTCCCATTGGCAACTGTTCCTTGATTTCCCCCTGTAACAGATTCACCACTTTCCCCAGGCCATTAGATCCTGTTCCTTCAAGTTGCATGGCTTCTTTGCTCCATTCTTCCATCTGAGTTGGGGGCACTGTTTCCTCCTTCTCGCTTTCTTGGGTACTTGTACTTGCAACCAGTCTTCATTGATTCAAAAAGAGAAGTCATACATAGGCAATGTATAAAAAAGAAATCTAAGAAAGGATCAATGGCTTCCATTCATTACTGCTGTTGTTGCACCTCTGTCAATTTTGATTACTGTCCCAAGTTGCCTTACTTGAGGCACATTACCTTCTCATATTCCAATTCCCCTACCTTAGGTAACCATCAGGGACTGTCTTTCAGCTGACTACAATATCCAGTAAGCATGGATAGAACTCACACCCTATGAGATAAGAAATTCTAAAGGGGCATATGAAAAGCTACAGCATCATATAGAGGGTCATTCCATGTCAGATCGACCAGAGATTTTGGTTGACCATCATCGATTTGACTGAAATTTGGTGAGGAGGTAGCGTTTGACTGAAAAACGAGAAATCCAAAATAAATTTTTTTCTGACCAATGGTGTGTCTGTGGTGAGGTCACAAAATTTTGACCTATTTTAGCTGGTCCAGCTGACCTCTATCAGACTTTCTTCAATAACTCCTTAGTTATTTTTTTTGAGCTTTCTGAAAATAATGGATCCAAAAACGGAAAATGTAAAGCACATTTTTACACATCTTGAAACTGGGGCAAAACAACCTCCTGAAAATTTATGAGCTTCATTACCATATTATTTCCATGGTATCTTGTAAATTTTTTTTCCTTTAAACATAATATATTTTTTTTTATGAAGGGTCAAAGGTCAAACGCCTTTGAATTTTTATATAAAATGAGTATACATGAATATTAGCTTGAAATAAATTCGCAACATAGAGCTAAAAGAGACCTTTAAAAGGAGTCCTAAATGAACATTCTATGACAAATAGCTAAGGAGTTATTGAAGAAAGTCTGATAGAGGTCAGCCAGACCAGCTAAAATAGGTCAAATTTTGTGACCAAGACACACCATTGGTCAGAAAAAAAATTTATTTTGGATTTCTTGTTTTTCGGTCAAACGCTACCTCCTCACCAAATTTCAGCCAAACCAATGATGGTCGACCAAAATCTCTGGTCGATCTGACATGGAATGACCCTCTATATGATGCTGTAGCTTTTCATATGCCCCTGAGAAAATTCGTCAATCTGACATGGAATCACCCAAAGCATTTTGCCTCATTTTGTCACTTAATGTATGATGTCATTTCAAAAAATTTCATGAGTAAAGGTGGACAATATTATGATATTCCTCAATAGAAGTCAAAGTAACCTTTTACACAAAATATGCTACATGTGATAGTAGGCCTCTTCCAATCAGATTTGCAAGGCTAGCAACCTTCTAGCTTCAGAAGAAAGTTCATTGAAAAGAATATGGGAAATTGGGTAACCTTTCCTCATTCCCTGTTTGTTACTTCATAGCATAGCAACTCTCCCTTAACTTCCATAATTGAGGTGTTCAGTGATCACTTTTTACTGAGAGGGGTAATTGAAATACCCCAGCCTATTGATGTAAAAATATAATTTTTGCACAGGCAAAATCAAAACTGCATATTTTAATACATGTAGATAGAAAAAAGTGCAAATAAATATTTTAACAATTTTATTTATGAAAAATTAGTTTAACATGTGGGCACCACCAGGATCCCCCTCAGTATAAGAAAAGTTAAGGACTTGTTACATATGCTTACATATATACAAAGTACTCTGTCTACTTCAATGTAGCTTACTGAGAAATTCAAAGAATGCCCATTCCTCAAGGATACAAGCAAAGGATATAGAGGATAAAAGGGGCAATGTCACATTCCCAAACCCACCTCTCTCTTAAAGGGAGGTCCAATGTGAAACAAGTTGATGACTCCTGTGAAACATCCAATGGTATATCAGTCCTACTGACATCTCCCGAAAGATCAAGGTTCAACACAGGCACAATAGATGAAGGAGTGGCCACATTCTCACTCATTCTAAACAAATCTTCTTCACTCTTTGAGCTGCATTCCTCTGTAAAACAAAGGAAACCTGCCACCTGAAATAGCATGAAATTATGGTTTTCTTGGGATTTAGACCTAGTCTTAGCCTGTTGGAAGAAACTTTATCATAAGTACATAGGCCTACATAGGTGAGAATTCCTTCATTTTGCATGAAGTCACCCAGGGATAGACTTTTCAAATCAACTTTCCCATACTTCGATTCTTAGAAAAATTTAAGCCTGATGTGATGTTGAGTAAAAAGCTGCAGTTAGCTGTTTCTCTGGGATCAACTTCTAATGCTGTGCCAGACAACCATATCCTGGCAGACCACAAGGTGGAATTAATTATCTTATTTCCTCTTTGTATGTTTGACTACCCTTTCTTGGCAACAGTTTGAATAGCTGCTTAGTAGCAAAAATTATGGCAATTAGTTTTAAGTAATTAAGTAAGTAAGTAATTTTTGGCCAAAATCTTTTTTTTGTTTTGGGCCGAAAGTTGGTGTGAAACCCAAACGCCTTGTCTATTAACCTTCCCAATCTATTGAAGGTGTTCTTGAACACTAGACCATGAAGAATTAAGTTTTCTGCCGATTGTTGGATGGTTTGACCGGGGTCTGACTCAACCTCCGACCTCAGGAGATCATTCTTCAGCTCTACCGGTCTTCTCGAGTGATGGCCATCCGAGAGGTCAGCATCGCCTGACCGGAATTTACTGAACCAACCCTGGCATTTGCAGACATCCAATACATCTCCATAAACACTAAAAATATTTTTGTTCGCCTCCGTTGCCTTACTTCCCTTATGAAATTCATAGAGCATAAAATGTCGTATTTGGATGTCTTCAAGAATGTGGTCCGACATTTTTGCTGAAGATGGAAAAATTTTTGTTATCGAAAAATTTATGGCAAATAACAGTTCTTTAGATTAATGAATAAAATCCATTTCAAAACAAATGAAAACACATCATAAATAACGTTTACATTTGGTATACAAAAAAACTACATTACTTTCTGGTACCCATAATACATTGTGGAACCTGTGGCTCGTTTCATCCAGATTTGAATTATTTTGGATTAAACATTCTGGGTTGATGTTAAGTAGAAACTTGTTCTCAGTTGACAAAGCAAAAAAGGAAGAATGAAAGACTATTCAATAAAAGAAATATGAATAATGTGTTGACAATGGATTGATATTTGTTTTTGGACAACAGTGATAATGAAGACAATCTGGTTCTGGATGAAATAGACACTTAGTAGACCTAGGATATGTCATAGTAACAGGGTGGCTTATTACCTAAATAGGTTGCCTTTGAAACCAAAATAAAATGCCTAGATTTCATAAATTACTGATAAGGACATGATGATGTATGGAAGTTGGGAAAGAGTACCTTTAAAGGAAGTGCAAGTATGAACTTTTCAGCTTTTGTGAATGTGAATATAAAAAATAAAAATGCCTTGCCAAAACTTCTTGCGTGCCCCTTGCATGTACCCTCTTACCCTTCATTTATCCTGGCCCCCATGAGAGACATTCACCAAGAGGAGATGTAAATAAAAGAAATAAAAATTTCTATGAAGGTTTATTTGACCTGTAGCTAGAGAAACTTAACATTAATGTCCAGAGAAACTCCCATGCTTTCAATAGCCTTCCATTTGTTAGGCTAATGTGAGTAGTCTGCAATAGCCTGTACAACCCAAAACATAAGCAGCTATCATGATATTCCTGCAACCTTATATTTCATTTTTTATTTCAATTATCTGAGTTTCTATTAGGAAGCCCAATGGTTGGGTGTTATTTGACAAAAGGTCCTATGGATGTGGGGCCTCAAAAAAGCTAGAAATGGGGTGGGGAGGGAGGTGATGCCCTGGATATAAGAATGCCGAATACATCTAGATCTAAAGTTATCCTGGATACACCCAGTTGCATTTAAAAATTGGTCTTAATCTTGGAAGAAACGTAGCCTAAACCTACATCGCTCACCCAAACTAGATTTGGAGAGTTTGTCCATGGCTACCGTTCCTTTCGAGAACGAGGCTGTCGTCAGCAAAGAGCAGGGCCAACACGAAATCAAATGAAGCTTACGGAACCCTACTTGGAGTGAACAATCACCAAGGAGCCAGAAAACACGTGGACTACACACAGGCGGGGAGGAAAACACAGTTGCCAGATAGTCCCGAGTCTGACTCACCCAACCGCTAATCAAAGATCTACGATGTAGGCACATGCAAATATTTCGTACCACTTTTAACATAATATTAACTCACACATCGTCTTATCATCGGAGATACAAATGGTGGAAAATTCTTGGACTTGCAAGTAAAATGATTGACCAAAAAGGCCCACGAAAATCTCTTTGTTCACTATCATAACGTACGAAATATAAAAGATCACTGGAAGTTGCTGAAAGATCTCTGCGGATACAAGAAGAAACAGTCGCAAATTAGTTCAAAGCTGGATCCTGGACAACTTAACGAATACTTTCTTCGTTATGAACGTGGGCCCGAAAACCCATTCATGCCAAATATCCAAAATGGAACTCACGACACATCCGACGGTCCTGTACTCATAGGCGGCGATTCATAGGGGCTCAGGGGGCTCGAGCTCCCCAAAAAATTTGGCAGAAGAATAAGGAATACTTGGAGTGCTGCCTCTGAGCCCCCCCAAATATCTCAACAAATCGCCGCCTATGCCTGTACTCTCTTCTGACGAAGTGTTACGGTCCATCAGAAAGGTGAAAAAGAGCTGTGCATCTGGTCCTGATGGTGTCCCTTCTTGGATCATTCGCACCTGCGCCCGGGAACTGGTTGTCTCTCTCACCACCCTTTACAACTTTTAGATTCGTCAAGGTGCTATTCCAGCGATCATAAAATGAGTGAAGATCATGCCTATTCCAAAGAAAAACCCTGTTTCCAAACCGAAAGATCTGAGACGAGTTGACTGCTCTTCACCGTTTCTGAATGGTTTCGAGTATTTTCTTCTTGATCAGCTATCAGCCACAATATTGTTTCCAAAGATCCCCCTCAATCAGCATACAAGAAAGATCGTTCCACTTAAGACACTCTTTTTTTTATCTTCTCAATTTTATTAGCATTGAACGAGGGAAAACAAAGCATTGAATACTTCTCTCGACTACAGCAGCAGGGCCGTTTCTAGGCATATTGGCGCCCCGATATTTGGGGGATACGTTGATTTTTGGTGTACGTTCATGTTTCGATGTTGAGTAAACGTCGATACTTGGTGGATACATCGACTCATCGGGTTCGCTCGTAATTCAACGTAGAGTTGATGTTGAGGAGAAGGGGATATTCCAACTCATGACATCTTCGCTTTCTAAGAGTCATTTGTCAAAATTATAATAATTTTGCATCATTGGATATTAATCACAGGGCCTATTGGAAAAGTGGAATGAACAAGTAAAGAACGTGAAACATCCATGACTGGTTCATCAAGTGGAAACCCATTTCTGGCATTTGTTCGAGAGGTGAGGTTGCTCGCATTTTCACTT